TCCGTTCAACATTTGCACGCAAGTATGAAGTTAAACCCGGAAACTGTTTCCGCTTGAGCTTTACCAAATCTTAATGACATGATGACTTTTCAATTTCTTTTTTATTTTTTAAATCTTCCATCCACTGAATCACTCCCCAAGTGGCTGAAATGGCCAGAGCTGAGCCAACCCGAAGCCAGGAGTCCAGAACCTCTTCTGGGTCCCCCACACGGGTGCAGGGTCTCAAGGCTTTGGGCCGTCCTTGACTTTTTCCCAGGCTACAAGCAGGGAGCTGGAAGAGAAACAGGCCTGCCGGGATTAGAACCGGCGCCCATATGCGATCCCGGTGCATGCAAGGCAAGGACTTGAGCCACTAAGCTACCACGCTGGGCCCAGATTTTTTAATTACTGATTAGGAAAAGATTGCTCTGTAGTTGCTTCCTTTATATATACAAAAGATCTCAATATTCATATATCATTACTGAAAGTCTGATTCACCAGAAGCTCACCTCAACGTAGATGGAAATCCCAAGATAAAGAAGTGCCCTCTATTTCTACGGTGATTCAAATAGAGAGACACATGTAAAGTAATTTCTACATGCTCTGCTTGGAAGTATAAACACAATGATATCAAGAGAGCTTCCAGAAGAAGGGTCAAGTCCAAACCCTAAGAGATAAGGATGAACAAGGTGGAGCCGGGTAGGCCGAGGGAACGCACCCCAAGGAGAGACACGTGTTAAGCTGAAGATGGAGAGCCGTGTTGCCAATTTGCAGCAAGGCAGGGAGATGCAATGGTCTCCGCTCTGCACCTATGCTTAGGGTTGTCCTGAACGTGCAGCAAAGAGAAGGAGGTCCGAGACCAGAGAAGCGAGTTCAGCGACCACTGTGCAGACCTAGCCAGAGAGGGACAGCATCTGAGGTGTGAAGGTAAGAGTCATGATACAGAGCCAAAAAAAAGAAAGAGTCAGAAATACAAGATTTCCCTAAAAAAAAAAAAAAAAAGTCAACAAAAAAAGTCAACAAAAAGTCCATGCGCAGATGAGGAAAAAGTAGTTTGGGATTCTTCCCAAATGTATCAGTTGAGTGATAAGGATTCACTCAGATAGTAAAAACAACGAAAGATAACTTTTTAGAAAAATCAGGAAAGTTGTTTTTTATGTATTTTAAACTTTGAATCATCTATAATACATCTGTGTACTCATGTCAATTTGGATATAAAATATGAGAAAAGCTAAATAGTAAAAATGAAGAAAATGGAAAAAAGATCTCATATATGGAAGATACAGGGAACCGCTACAAACTTATCAAGACAACAAGATGAGGCCACAGCTGGGACTTAAACAGAACAATAGTCAAGGACAGGGGCAGACAAGGAACGGAAAAGGAAATCCCCAAATCCACCTGAACTATGTAAAGAGACGTTCAAACTCATCTAAATGAGAATGAAATATTAAAATCGCGATGGTTCATTACCCTCTTATCTACACAGGAAAAAGTTAGCAAGCCAGACAATGCAGCACTGGCCTAGGTGTGAAGACACAAAAAACTTAGGAATTGGTGAGATGCGATCAGTGTTAGGCCAAACCGATGGAGTGTAGACGCCTCCTTTGACTCAGTCGTCCTGCTGCCAGACACGGTATCCCCAAGGAATAGTCAGACACACATCCCCAGAGGAGCCTCGCAGCCCCCGTAGCATTTATCACAGCAGGAAGGGAGAAGCAGTCATGGTACAACAGAGCAGGACGGAACAAGCTGCTCTGTGGCTTCCAGCTGGGTCTGGTCACCCAGCAGGCCCTGACAGGAGATTGGCGGGTGAGGAAAGAGAGAGGTCAGGCCATTTGTCCCTCCCTGAAAAGTTCAGCTCCTGTCGGACAGCCCATCATTCACAACTTCAGACTTCACTTGACTGCTGTGGCCTTGACCTTCAGTCCTGAGCTATTCACAGCCACTTGCCGATGCTAGATGGTCCTTCTTGAGTTTTTGCTTTCTCTTAACCTCATCCATTCCTCCAGGGACCTTCCATTGGCAGTATTCTTACATTCTCTTTAATAAACTCCCTTTTTTGAGAATGCTAATTCTCTCCTGCCTTGATCCTTGCTGAATCCACCGCAGTTTTAGAAAATTGTGATAAAGGATCTTTTTCTATGTCCAAGTGTAACACTTTACCTGCCAAAGCAAAATAACTCCATCAGCCTCTATCAGAACGAATGCATGGGAAACCAAGTAACGAGACAGCAGCCTGCATCACTAACTTCCCCCATTAGTGTCACGCATGATGGCTCATCTGACGGTGAGATAACGCAGATCTAAAGCATGTGCAGGGACTGAATGTCGCCATGGATCAGTAGATATTTGCATGCTTGCAGGATTAGCACTGTCTGGATTCCAACGACCAGCTGAGCCTATTCGAGATAAAACTACAGTACATATTTTGAACTGGGGATTGGCAACAACGAAGTCATCACACATGAGTTACAGAAGTTGTTTTGCATGGCAGCGTCAGAGCGAGGGCCAGTTGCATGTTTCCCAGCTTTGACATTGCCCAACATCTATTCACAAAGTCCTGACCTGGCTACCCAATCCATGCAACAGGCTCCACGCCCACCACCATAACCACACCAACTTTATGTCCCCCTGGCCATTCTTATTTCTCTCTCTTTTCTTCTTTGCTTATTTATTCTTTGCCTTCCGTTGTTAGGCTGTAGGTTCCACCAAGGCAACGAATCATGCCCAAAACACATGAGCTGCTAGAAGGGAGCCGGTGTTGTGTGGCAGGTTATTCTGTGGCATGCAACAGTGGCATCCCATATCGGAGCCCCGGATCAAGTCCCAGCTGCTCCGCTTCCCTTCCAGCACCCTGCTACTGTGCGTGACGAGGCAGGAAGAGTACTCAGGTGCTTGCCATCCACAGGGACGATCAGAAAAGAGTTCCCAGGGCCTGGATTCAGCGTGGTACAGTCCAAGCCATGGCAGCCATCTGAGGAGCAACCCAGCAAACAGAAGAATTTTTCCCTCTCTTTGATGCTCTGCCCTTAAAACAAACAAATCAATCTTCAAAAATCAAACAAGTGTAGAAGAGCATAAAGTCTCCTCCCCACTATGTTGATGGTTGTGGAACGTCCAAGGCCTTCCTAACAGCCAAAACGTAGCTCTCAGATCAGGCTCCTCTGGACATGTGCAAGGATGCTAGCTTTGTCAGAGAATGCAAAGATCTCAGGCAACGAGGGCTCAAGTCTCTGTGTTTTTCCCTTGTTTTTCCCAGATTGGGCCCGGTTCCAAGCACAGATGGGTGCTTCATAAATATTATTGAAGGATGATGACTCAGAGGGTTATTTAGTGCCTCCACATGGGCTGGAGAAAAGACCTCAGGCCACAAACACACACACGCTGTGCTTTACCCTTCCCATCATTTGCACCAGCGCGTTTTCAGCAACAGAGACTCCTCTGCAAGCATCCGTCAGGTCCGTCCACAAGAACAAAGCCCCAGAAGAATGCCATTGTCAAGGATGACACCGCATTCTTATTCTGGGGTGAACGCAGTCCTCGTTCGATGCCACTGAAGGGCGGAAGTTAAAAATCCAGGAAGTTATTCCTCCAGGGAATAACAACTGTCTCTGAACAAGGGAAGTTGACAGGAATAATTCAGCAGTGAGAAGGGGCAGCCCATCCCCTCCCTCCCTTCCAGAATCAAAAGAATTTGGGCAAGTGGACTACTGAATGTGTCTCAGCTACCCCTGTTCATGGCATTGACAGGCACAACTCTATGGTTTTACCAATGCCCTCTCCAAAAACAACAACAATAATAATAATAATCTAAGTGGGAACTCACTGTCAGGATCAAGGTTTTTTAAAGCTAGACTTAGTTGATCTAGGAAGAAAGAAGCCTGAAAAGTGTCTTTCATGAGAGCCCACTTGGGAATCCACACAGCAGATCAGATACCCAAAGTGAATCGGGCACGTCAAGAGCCCCACAGAATTCTGGATCCCAACCAGCAAGCATGAATAATCCTTTGAAATGCTCACTTACGTATCAGCACAGGTCCTTTGTGAGATTTTTTTTAAGCAAGGCCTCTGGTTTCTGACTGCAACAGAGAGTTAGTGGGAAGGAGTGGATAAAAATGAAATCAAGACCTACTGGGAAATTTCCACGAGAAAAGAGGACAAATGGGTTTTGTTGTCAGACTAAAAACTAACGTCTCTTGGCCACGGCTTGGAAAATTGTTGGCTACTCACAAGGGAGCTGCATGAGATTCTCATTTGGTTTCTCGGGATCCCTCTTCATGTAGGTGTAGTTCATAGACGCATGCAGGGGTAACCTACATCAGAACACCTGCTTTCTCATCCTGGCCAGATTTCCTAGTTATCGGTGACACTTAACCTCTCTCATTGTTGTTTAACATCACAGGAATAAGACACATCTTTTGAAACAGCAGATTCTAAAATTCACTGCTTTGAAAAGATCAGATAAAGGGTGGGAACCGTAAGTAAGGTAAAGGAAAAGAAACCATTTTCCCGATGTTGTCCCATTTCATCCTCAGTAAGCCTATCACCACTGCTCGTTTTATCCAGCTCGGAGAGACACAAGTGACCACTCAAAAATAAATGGACTTCAACACCTATACTCTTTTCACCTCACTTAAATGACTAAATATTTGTAGTAGAAACTATGTGCCCGGTGTTCTATGAAATGTTTCACAGAGATCACTTCATTCACACCCAAACAATCCATATTAGGACGCTACTATTAGTATCCCCATTTTACAGATTAGAAAACCGAGGCAGAGAGATCAAGCCAAGCAAACCTGCCTGATGAACACAGTGCGTAAGTGGCAAAACCAAGAACCAAGCTCAGGTGACCAGACTCTCCATGGTGGTGTCTGGTCTCCTCCACTTTTGCATCCAAGTTCTCAGGCATCCACACGCTCCCAGTGGAGTATGAAGAAGGATGAAGGTCAGGTACCAACCAAGGGGATACTGACATCAGAGGCGTGCCATCTATTGTCCACAGAAACCTTGCTTACCTGTCCAAGGCAGTGCTGGTTGGCATACTCCTCCCGAACCCTCGGACCCCAATCTGCCGGAAATACGGAATGCAAGAGAGGTTGGCAGCGATGATGGCCAGGGAGTCCGAAGGACTCACAAAGAAGCCATTTTGGCCTAGGATCATATAACGGTCCTGTAGGAATCAACATGAAAATGATCAGACAGAATCTTTTACTGCTAGCCAGCACCCCATCTCCACAATCATACAAGCCATTAATTACTGCCATCACAAGTAAGTAAAAATAATACAAAGTAGGTCAAAGAGAACATAGGAAACCACCTTTTCGGTCCCCGAGTGTCCAGGGACCAGAACCTTGACACAACTAGGAATGTTCCACCTGCTGAAATACTCCAGTAGTCTCTGTAGACTTGACTCGGTTCTCCCCGAAACATATGGGGAACAGAGGTTACTGCTGGTTCCTTAGCAAGATGCTTTCAACAAAACCAGCTATAAAAAAGATTTACTGCTTCATTGCTTTTTGAAGGAACTAATCCCTTCTATAACATAACGCTAATCTGAAACTCAGAAAAGTAATGGCTATTCGATCACCACATTTTATTAAACAAAAGAGGAGATGCAGAGGCTGGGAGGGGCCACATGTCCCATCCATGCTAACTCCAGATGTGTTTGTTAATGTTCTGGTTTATGTTGCTGGGCTTAATACACAGTAAAAGGATCAGCAGGCAGAAACTTCCCTACTTACCCCATCAGCATCAAAAGCAGCTCCAAATCCATATTCTCCACCCTTCATGGCTTCCAGCAGGGTCGTTGCGTAGGTCAAGTTCGGGTCAGGATGCTGCCCTCCAAAGTCTTCCAGCGGAACACAGTTTATTGCAGAATTGGCTGGGGCTCCCAATTCATCGCACAGAACTTTTCTCACGTAGGGTCCCATAACTAAAATAAGACACACAGCCATGTGAAATACTTGCAGAGCCTTCCTCCTGGAATGTTTTGTTCTGAGCAGAACAACAAAGCCCATTTAATCCACTGGATGAAAAATTATGAAGCTTTTTTTTCAAGATACAACATAAGACACTTAAACTACCATTCGTCAAAAAGCGCCTATATACAAGTTTTTGTGCTAATCATGGTCCAGTTCCACAAAATCTTTCTTACAAACCTTTTTTTAGAAAAGTTGGCAGAAAGAAGCCAACTACGTGTTCATGACTCATTGTTACATTTTATGTATTAAAACTTTATCTGGGGTCCGGCACGATAGCGTAGTGGTTAAAGTCCTCACCTTGCACGCACCGGGATCCCATATGCTCGCCAGCTCTAATCCTGGCAGCCCTGCTTCCCATCCAGCTCACTGCTGTGGCCTGGGAAGGCAGTCCAGGACAACCCAAAGCCTTGGGCCCCTGCACCTGCGTGGGAGACCCGGAAGAGCTCCTGGCTGCTGGCTTTGGATTGGCTCAGCTACAGCCACTATGGCCGCTTGGGGAGCAAACCATTAGACGAAAGATCTTTCTCTCTCTCCTCCTCCTCCTCTCTGTATATCTGCCTTTGCAATAAAAATAAATAAATCTTTATTTTAAAAAAACCAACTTTATCTGGGGCCAACATGATGGCTCATTTAACTAATCCTCTGCCTTGCAAACACCAGCATCCCATATGGGCACCAGTTCATGTTCCAGTTACTCCACTTCCCTTCCAGCTCCCAGCCTGTGGCCTGGGAAAACAGTAGAGGATGACCCAATGCCTTTGGACCCTGCACCCACGTGGGAGACCCAGAAGAAGCTCCTGGCTCCTGGCTTCAGATAACTCAGCTCCAGCCACTTCAACCATTTGAGGAACAAATTAACAGATGGAAGAAAATTATTCTCTGTCCCTCCTTCTCTCTATAAACCTTCCTGGCCAGTAAAAATAAATCAGTCTTTTCAAAATCTGTATCTGATGAATGTATGCGAAAGTACTAAGGTCTGTAGAAATGTCCTTTGTCTCTGCAACTATTTGAACTCATGCAGTACACAGTTAAACACTGAATGCTTGCAGCACATAAAACTGAGTGATTTTACAAAACAAACGGTGTGCTTCAGTACAAGAACATTTACAACGACCCTAACATGGAACTTTTCCAACACTCCTAGATGCTAAATCCACCTGTGGGCTCAGGTAAGTCTCTGGGTGACTGTCAGTGTGAAACAGAGAGGTGGCATTCAATGCGTATTATGAAACAATCATTTCACAATAACTAGATTGAGTGACTTAAGTAGTAAATATGGGCAAGACTTCCAGAGGAAGACTGGAAGGCGTCATTTAACTATGGGACAGGGCAGGAGCAGGGAAGCCATTCAAGTGGAGGGACACTTGCAATGCACAGAGGAGGGCCTGGGGTAGAACCCAAAGCACACGTGGGGGTCGACTTACAATCCCGTCGGTTGAAATGAGCATGCTGAATACCACCCTCCATTCACTCCCACCACCAAGTGCCCTTGCTTCTGCTTGCCTAGAATCTGTTTCCCCTACATCTTCACGTAGCACTCTGAGTCCCTTTTGGAAAACCCACTCCTCGTCTCAGTTAACGTAGTTCAGTATGACTAGCTCTCACAGCTGCCCGGGTTGAAGACATCACCTAGCTGCATCCCAGCGGAGGTGACCGAGTCAGAAGTGGGCCTGTGACATAAGCCAGGCAACGAGGTTCAAACCCTGATAATGCTGCTGACGTCCACAAAGGTTAAGACCCACCAAGGCTCAGAGCCAACTGGCAGATTTTCCACTCGACTCTTACATATGCCAGCCAGCCAGGCATCACTAAAATTCTGAAGAATGATCATTAATATAATAGCAACATAAAGATTAAAGAAAAACACGGAAGAATAAATTACATATAGAGAAGAAAAGTTATAAAACACACATCATTAATGCCTCAATCAAGAGTAACAGGATTGGGCCTGGTGCAGTGGCGCAAGTGGTTAAGTCCTCACCTTGCACGCCCGGGATCCCATATGGGCGCCGGTTCTAATCCTGGCAGCCCCGCTTCCCTTCCAGCTCCCTGCCTGTGGCCCAGGAAGGCAGTCGAGGACAGCCCAAAGCTTTGGGACCCTGCACCTGCGTGGGAGACCCGGGAGAGGCTCCTGGCTTCGGATCGGCATAGCATGGGCCGTTGCACTCACTTGGGGAATGAATCATCGGACGGATGATCTTCCTCTCTGTCTCTCCTCCTCTCTGTATATCCACCTTTCCAATAAAAAAATAATAAAAATAAATCTTAAAAAAAAATTTTAAAAAAAGAGTAACAGGATAAAGTCCAACGGCCAAAAAATAAAAAGACACCTTTAAGTGTTGTTCACAATGCAGAATGTTGAAGGCCTCGTACAGTGCAGTGGTGAAAATGTTACAGCTATTTTGGAAGACAGTTCAGCAATTTCTTTTTAACTACGGTAAAATACATACTTCTGTGACTCAGAAATCCCTTCCTTGGTTTTTATTCAAGTTTCTATAAAGACGCATTTGTGAATGTTTACAGCATCTTATCTGGAATCATCCAAAACTAGAAACAAAAAAAAACTGATTTCTGTTAACCGACTAATAAACAAACCCTGATACATCAGCAGAAGGGAATACTACTCAACAGTGATAAGGAACTGCCGTTGATCTATGCAACACCATGGATGGATGTCAAGAACCGTCTGCTGAGAAGCCTGAAGCACAAGGATCCATATTCAACGACAAAATAACTCCATCACCGTCTCTCAAAATGAGTGCACGGGAAACCAAGTAACGAGATACTAGCTCACATCACTAACTTCCCCATTAGCTTTCTCTCTAGTTTCCGCAGAATATGTTCCTCTAAAAAACTAAGAGTAGATCAAAAGAGTGGAATTAGGGAACTGAGAAGCAACAGAATCTGGTGCGATGGCTCAGTAGCTAAATCCTTGACTTGCATGCGCCAGGATCCCATATGAGCACCAGTTTGTGTCTCAGCTGCTCCACTTCTCACCCAGCTCCCCTGCTTGTGGCCTGGGAAAGCAGTGGAGGACGGCCCAAAGCCCTGGGACCGTGCACCCAAGTGGGAGACCTGGAAGAGGCTCCTGGCTTCAAACTGGCCCAGCTCCGGCCATTAGAGTCACTTGGGGAGTGAACCAGTGAATGGAAGACCTTTCTCTCTGCCTCTCCTTCTCTCGGTAAATCAACCTTTCCAACAAAAATAAATACATCTTTAAAAACAAAAACAGAAACGAAGAAAATGAAGTAACAGCAGATTCACACTATGGAGAATTTGGAGATTAACACTGGTAAATATCTTCAACAAGGACAAACCAACGAGAAATCACAGAAATCACAAAGTTGTGCAGTTAAGGAAATGCAGTATACTGCCCAGCCCAGGAGCACCATGACCCTGCGAACACTGCACACTGGTTTTACTCAAACAGTGACGCAGTTACACAAGTACACTTGGATTTGATGGGCAGGGAGGGCAAAAAAGGCCTCTTCTTCCACAGCATCACGTCTCTGACACAGTGGAAAACCAACACAGAGGTGTGTGTGTGTGTGTGTGTGTGTGTGTGTGTGTATTCAAAGTATTTAGCGACAACCAGATAAATACCCCAATAATCACCTAAAAGTATTTCTAACACATTCTCTGGAAGGTGGGGAACAGGAGGAAAGAAAATGTTGGGGGCAGTTATGAACTACTAGGCTGTTTTAACCAAGGTATGTACAATAATCAAAAAGTAAAACAAAAAGTTAACTACACTTTGACTCCAGCCACATCGCATTCTAACAGACACACCCTTGAACTGATCTGCTTAACTTTTCTTTCCACTGACATCAAATCCAGCCACATCATCTCAAACCCCAACATATGTAAATGCCTTTTTTGCCCACTCGTTCTTTGCAGAAAACCATGAACTCTTTCTTTGCTCTTCCCCTCTCTCCTCCTTCTGGCCTCCCTTCCCCCCCTTCCCCTGTTCCTGCCCCACTGGAATAAACCTCCTAAGATTTAAAAAAAAAAAAAAAACAGAAAGAAAGAAAACCATGAACTCGCCTCCATGCATTGCATCAACACGGATCTTCAGCTGGCCCGGCCCGGTCAGCAGACTCTTGATAGCATTAAAGTCAAAGATGTTCCGAAGAAGGTTAAGATAGATGTCCACGGGGTCCACGATCTCCACTGAAGATAAGACACAATGGGAGACAGTCATGATTGCACCCATAAAACTCTGCTCACAAACTTCATATAGGAAGTGTCATTTATCGAGGCACAACTTTTCAGACGATCATATACTGTGTAAATAGTATCATAGTACTAACTACTAGAAATAATATAATATAATATCATGGATAAATAAGATCGCATTGTAACATCACAAATCAACCAAAAGAGTAAATATAATACAAATATGCCTGGTTGCCCCTGCCCTCACCTTCTTTCATCACCTCCCTAAAAAAAAAAAACAAAAACGGTGCATTTCTCAATTCTTGGCAAATCTAGTCACTTTGCTGTAGGGCTGACCAAAGAAGGACTCAGCTGGTGTAAAATAAATCCAGCAGTGACCTCAGTACCAGCATCTATTTCCAAATGCCAGGTCCCAGTGCAGACTTGGTAATGAAGCAGGTATCCCTGAATTTGCAGGAAACACTCCTCCTGCTCAGTCTAGTAGCCAAGTCCCCGGGGAAGGTCAAAAATCAAAAAGTCCTCATTCACTGTGAATGCTCTCCAGGGTCTGGCACAACTCGCTGATCAAGAACTCGAAGCGCATCTTTTTGAATTACCATTCACACAATGTGATTTTTCACACTTGGCAAATCTGGACATAATTAAGGCGCACGAAGTACTTGTCCTAAAAGTAGTAAAGCATTTCCAATAATGTTCAGTAAATATTGGTACAGTGCTTAACGGATGAGATTTTAACATGTGATGTAAAACGGTCCCTTCGTTTGGTCAAGTGCGCATCTCAAAATAATTTGCATGTAAATCAATGCATTATGTGTACCCACTCAAAAGCAATTATTTTGAAACATCATGCATAGTTTTAAGTAATCTTTTGGTACTAATCTACAAAAATCATTAAAAATTGATTCATAGGTTAGAAGCCTAAAAAAGATCAAGACAACAAATTTCCTGCTAGGTAAATTTTGTTAGGTGTATCTTTCCATATTAAAGACTAATCTTTAAAATAATAGGTTATGTGCTGCATGCTTTGTAAGTTAGTCACTCAAAGATGTAAGACAGCGTATTTAGTAATTCCATTCTGGCTTTTCAACTGTCAAACCACTTGCCTGATAGCATTTAGTACATACGAAAGAAAACATAAAGTAGAAATACGGAAAACAAAAAAGCAAGGAGAAATCATAAACACTGAATGCTCCCATCATATAGTTCATACTCCGACATTTTAAGGTGAAATGCCAAGAAATGGTGTTTCCATGTAATTCAAGCCTTACTCAACTCAAAACAGCAAGGATAGAGCACATAAATCAACCCAAATATTGATCTCCCAAATTCTTCTGTAAGTTTTTTTAGAAAATCCATCCAACTAACAAGGTGGCCATGGCAATGAGCCTGAATCTGAGCTTACCGACGATTCTGGTTTCCTTGGATTACTGAGAAATTTGTGAAGCTATGAAAGATAAATCAATACAGGTGACTTCCTCATGTTAACGCTATCTGACTTTCCTCAGACACCATACAGCCCTGTGCTTCCCAGCCGATTTCAGTCTCATCTTGAAGGGTTAGGGTAACCTGGTAAGAATCTGCCTGGGTTCCCACTCCCTTCACTGGAGCCTGGAGTCCAGTGTCAGCTCTGCTTTTAATTGCTGCTTTCTGAGAAGCAGCATGTGATGGCCCAAGGACTTAAGTCCCTTTCGCCTGAATTGAATCCCCGGTTCTTAGCTTCAAGCTTGATCCACTACCAGACAGACACTGAAGGTATCTGGAGAGTAAACAACTCTTACTTTCTCTCTCTTTCTCTTTCCTCTCTCTCTCTCTCTTTCACTATTGCAAAGGAAAAAAAATAGCATTTTTTAAAAAGATTTCTGTATTTATTTGAAAAGCAGAGTTACAGAGAGAGGAAGAAATGTAGCTCCCATCCCAAACGGTAGCAATGGCAGTGGCTGGGCCAGGCCAGCACCTCAAGTCCAGAGCTGCTCCTGGGTCTCACACGTAGGTGCAGAGGTCCACACACTTGGGGCATCCTCTTGGTTTCATCAACAGAAATGCATCCTCTTGGATGCATCAACAGAAAGTGAACAGCTAGAGCACAAACAAGTGCCCATATTTTATGTCGATGATACATGCAGTGGCTTAACCCACTATACCACAGCACTGGCCCCAAAGACATACATTCTTTTTAAGTCATTTTCTTAAAGACTACATACTGTTTCCCTTCAGTTACCTAACCATACCCAGGTGTACGCATGTGTGTGCGTCTGCAGGATGCCAACCAGACTAGTTGACGCAGGCATTATCGCCATCAGTAAGTATTAAACGAGGCTTCGCTAGCTCAACAATCAACTCAACTTCTCAAGAAACATCTGGAAGCACTGACCCAACACTTCAACCCCTGAAACTTATCTTAAGGTGTTTTATATTTCTGTCTCAAAAAAAAAAAAAAATCACGTGGCCATGAAACATGTATTTCATCTTTATTAGCTAAGCTAAATTTCCTTCCAAATAAGAATGTTACCATAAGACATTTATAAGAATGTTATCATAAAACATTTATTCATGTGCTTAGAACCATTAAGAGCAAAACACATTGGCGAGTTCCACTGTTACTTATGTCTTCAAAGAAGCAGTAAGAGAATAAAGCCAAGGCAGAAAAGTTACGTGCACATAAATCTTAATGTGTTGTTCTATTGGTTCCAAATCGACCTACAAAATCAAAAGATATTCTGAGAAGCTGAGAAGTTGTATTCACCCAGCACGATAGTATTTTTGGCAAATTTCATTCTTGGTCTGTTTCTCTAAATGCATGTAGCACTTCTCTGAGTCCAGCCCTTCCATTACCACCGTATATACAGCAGGTGAGCAATCCTTGCCATTCCGTGAGGCTCAGCCCTGTGTTCTCTGAGAAACGTGACAAGGCCTGACTTGACAGGTCTCTTCTTTGCAATCTAAGACAGCCCAGCGCGTTCATGCTAAATGTTTGGTAAAACATTAACATTAAAAACCTACAACATTAAAGACAAGTTTAGGCAACGCACAGCTCAGGAAAGTTCTACGGGATTCGACCATGAATCTCATCATCCTATGTCAGAAACCGCGAAGGGAAACAGTCGCTGAAAGATTCCAGCTTTGAACCCCTTGGCTTCTGTCTCTTGTCTCTGGACCATACCGTTTCCACACGCGCAGCAACACTCAGTCCTACAACCGCTGATTAACTCAGCTTTTTGCACCTGCTCCTCTGAAACGCCAGGTCACCCCCATTCTCAGGTTTACTCTGGCGTCTTCAGATTGCATCTCCCTCTCTTACCTCTGAATGGTTTGAATTTATTCTCCAGATCAAATTCTTGCCTCCCGAGGCGGGACAGGTCGATTCGAAGATCAGGACATATGGCATATTCCTCGATCGTTCTGCTGATCTGATAGATCTTGTCCGAGACAACATCCGGTGCAGGACCTAAAATGTGCGCGCACACACACACACAAAGCATCTCTTTAGAAGTCTGAGAATTTCAGTTAGAGAGGTGTGAGCATCCTCCTTCAGGCAGGACACATATGCGTGTACCTTCTTTTCATAGTTTAACTGCCCTTGTTATTTTTTACACTCTATTCATTCGCCACGGAGGAAATTTGGCCGGCCTCCCCTGCTCTGTGTAGACTAAACAGGCCACGGTTTTTTAAACGTGTAAACAATGCTACATCGCCTCTAAAAATAGTTTCACACCTGCCAGGGAGACCCAGTTACATCATCAGTTTTTTTTTTTTTCAGGAAATGAGACGCAAACAGGGTATGCACGTGGGAGGAGTGAGGTATTCCAGCCTGAACCTGCGCCTTGCCCCGTGCATCCAGAGGAAGAAAATATGCTTTCCATTCCTGCCTCTGCTCCGCAATGATGCAAGCTTAGCAGGGCAAACTCATTACTGCCTCCAAAGACACACTGCTCACCCCCATGTTTTCTAAAAAAAAGCTGCATTTCAACGATCTTTCAAATTTCCTTGGGAGATTCGGTTGACAATAGAGAAAAGATCTTAAACAAGCTGAACATGGAATCAACAGGTGCCTTCCTTTCGATTTCACTTCTTCTTAGCTTTATTTCCTTACAGTTTCCTTCTTTGTGCTTCAAAGGCAGAGTTAGAGAGAGGGGGAGAAACACAGACAGATCCCTTCCATTCTCTGGTTCATTCCTCAAATGGCTTTAAGAGCCAGGGCTGTGCAAGATTGATGCCGGGGGCTACTAGAGTCCGTCCAGGTCTCCAGTGTGGGTGGCAGGGTGAGCAAAGCCTTGAGCCATCTTCTGCTGATTTCCCAAGTCCCTCAGCAGGGAGCTGAATCAGACCAGCTGAGAATGAAACATAGGTCGGCATGCAATGGTGCTGCATCAGGAGGCAGGTTAACCCACGGCACCACAACACCAGCCCTATGGTTTTGTTTTTTGTTTTGTTTCGTTTTTCAGATTTATTTACTTTTATTGCAAAATCAGATAGAAAGGAAGGGAGACAGAGAGGAAGATCTTCCGTCTGGTGGTTCACTTTCCAAGTGGCCACAGCAGTCAGAGCTGCGCCAATCCAAAGCCAGGAGCCAGAAGCCAGGAGCTTCTTCTGTGCCTCCCGCGCAGGTACAGGGTCCCAAGGCTTTGAGCTGTCCTCAACTGCTTTTTTAGGCAACAAGCAGGGAGCTGGATGGGAAGTAGGACTGCCGGGATTAGAACCGGCGCCCATATGGGATCCCCGCGCATGCAAGGAGAGGACTTCAGCCTCTAGGCTGCTGCACCAGGCCCTTTTGTTTTGTTCTTAAAAGGGTATAGCTGCCCCTTGGTGTTCTCAGGGGAGGGTAAATGCCAAAAGCCACTGCTGTTCAGACACTTACGTTAAACTGTGAAGGAGTTGCATACTTTAAATCAGTTCTACATTACACATGTACCCAACACACTATAAACGCTATGACAATCTTTGCTACCCTGTATCATGCACGTTTAATACATGGGCAAAGCTTCAACTATTTTCTTTTGCTCTCCTATATTATCTTTACTTTTTATTACTATTTTTTACTATTGTTTACATAGTTGGGAGGGGTGCACGCCCATGTGGGTGTCTGATTAGGGTGGGGAGGGTCATGGTATAATGGAGGGTGGCTGGGACAAATAGTTCAAGCTTTTTTTTCTTTCCTGGTTTAGCCCATCACCACTCCCAGCTCTCCATGTGAACCAGCAGGTGCTGCAGTCCCACAGAGGCAGACCCACAAGTCCCCTCCAGAGTAGCCCCCCAGATCTGGTTCTCTTGTGTTCCAGTGGGTACTGAGACTCAGCCTGATGTGGCCTACCTCCTGCTTAGACACTAAGAGACGAGTTTTGCAGCTTTGTCCAGCCAGGCATGCCACCACCCCCAGCCCCAGCTTTTGCATGCCCCGGCTCTTACCATGCTGTTGAGTTCAGCACAGGACGCCCAAGTGGGCAGGTGCCTTGACCTGATGGGACATGCCCCCTGGTTCCCCCCACCTCTAAACTACTCCATCCCAGCTCCCTCAGCTGCCTGTGACCCTGAGTACAGTGACCCAGCCCATGCAGGACGCCAGAAGTCATTGCTTTCCTATGAAATACATCATCAGCCACTCCGCTCCAATATGTCCCTAGATCCCCCTTGCCATGCAACCTGCAGTCCCCTCGCCTAGGGGACAACAATTCCCATCTCCCCACATACGTTAAAAAAAAAAAAAATAGAACAGGTGGCTATGCAAGCACGGTGGTATAGTTAACACAGAGTTGGCATTAACCAAGCCCAGAATGCCCCCCAGCTACTGGCTGATTTTTCTCCCAGCAGTGTAACACTCGCCCAGGTACAAGGCAACCTAGGCAGTTGCCTACAGCTAGGGCTAACTATTTTCAATCCACTGTTGGTTTAATCCACAGAGGAGCAATCTATGAACCATGACTATTTATCTTAATACAACAAAACTTAGAATAATACATTAGGGCCTGGCACGGTGGCCTAGCAGCTAAAGTCATCACCTTGAATGCTCCAGGATCCCATATGGGTGCCAGTTCTAAACCTGGTGGCCCCGCATCCCATCCAGCTCCCTGCTTGTGGCCTGGGAAAGCAGTCAAGGATAGTCCAAAGACTTGGGACAATGTACTTGCATGGAAGAATAGAAGAGGCTCTGGCTCCTGGCTTCAGCTCAGCTCTGGCCACTGCGGCCACTTAGGGAGTGAATCATCAGACGGAAGATCTTCCTCTCTGTCTCTCCTCCTCTCTGTATATCTGACTTTCCAAAATAAATAAACAAAATCTTAAAACAAAACAAAACTACCTGGAAAGTCCAAGATCTGGGCTGGGAGTGGACGTAGTAGGGAAACTGTGGGCATTCTGCTGATGGGCTGCAGCTCCAAGCAGTAAGTATGAAAACCAGGCCCAGGGATGGTATCACCCATAAGTATGAGTGTGAGCCAGCCAGTGGGGTCGGTTGAGTTGAGCAAGGCTCCAATGCCCATTGACACATATAAGAGCTGAATGGGATGTGGGACAGATTGGACCAGTCTGCTGCATATACTGGTATGCACAGGAACCAGGAGTGAGTGGGCAGGCCTGGTTGAGCTCCAACTAGGCTGCAGTTCCTGCTGGTGTACATTGAGGCCTGAGGGTGTGATGGACAGGGTGAGGCTTGGCCACAGCACTCATTGGTTTATGTATGACATGGGGCCGGGGACAGAACAGACCAGGTGACTGCCACCACCTGTGTGTGCACAGGCTGATGTGGGTGACGGACTGAGCCAAACCCCGCACTGGCTGGCACACACAGAGGTCAGGTTGGGGTCACCTCCGGCGAGGTTTCTTTGGGGACCCCACCCTAACTGGAGCACTGGACTCAGAACTCCAACCATGGGGAAAATCACAGACTATTTAGTCTATGTAGTGCATGGGTCACTATTGGGTCTCCATGGTTCCTGAGGCCTGTGAGGTGGACCGTATGCCCAGATGCTCCTGGGGAATGTGACAACCAGACACTGAGGCCTGCAGAGGACATCAGGACCACGGAGGGCAGAACAAATTGGACAGCTCTCCCAGACAAGCACCTAGCCAAATCAAGACTAATGTGGATTATGTCAGCCAATCAACCTCCGAAGGATTTCCTCAACCCTGGAGCAATGAAATCAACAGCATCTCAGAACTATCAAAACCATGCTCCACACTGAAGACCCTGGGATGACACTGGGTGGCCTTCCCCTGTCCCCGGGTGCTGATGCGGTCAGGTTGCCCGGGAGCGGCCCTCTCCCCTTCTCTCTCCACTTCCTCCAGATATCAGAAGAAGAAAAGGAGATTGGAGGCAGCTGATCATCCACTTTTTCCCCATCCCCCGGCCCTCCCCACTCCTAGCTGGTGGTCCATATGGACATGCATCCCTCTCAATTATATAAACATCAACAAAAAATTCAATGAATTTCAGTTTTTAAAAAGTCAACTCCCACCTTCTTACACATGCAGGCTCATTGCTGTAGATCTAAAGAGAGTTAACCAAATCCATGTGCATTGGAGATACATCCACTACAGCAGAACATGTGAGGATTCTTGGGCGAAATCAGATTAGGTTTAAGAAGCTATTGGACCTTGATTTAACTTGTAATTTCTGTTTGGTTGTTGGTTATTTTTTGAACCTGTCATTGATACTGTCTCAACCCAGATGTTTCGAAGAATGGAACTTGCATTATTTTTAACATATTGTTTACCCAATACTATGTCAATTAATTCCATAATGTTGTATATTGATACTGAGGTTTTGTTGGGGCTTTTAACTGACCGGATCTTTACTCTGTTAGCCCTATCTTCAGACTAGAGAAGGTCTCCCCAAGAGGCCACTGAACTTATCTGGACAATAAGACACTGGACTTTATGCTAGGCATGTGTTTGCAAGGAACGAATCTCAACTGAACTTGAACTGTGGTTATGCATCAAGGTGGAGGAATCCACCTTAATCCCCAGTGCCTATAAAACTGTATCACATAATACAATGTTAACAACAATAAAAAAAAAAAAGAAAAAAAAAAGAAGCTATTGGAGAAGCAGTGCTATCTTTATACTTGTGCTACACGTAATTTACACAGAAGTGTGCCTTTCTTTTGAAGAGACATATTAACAGGTGTCTAGGTGTGACGTGTCTTCACGGTGTCATTTGTCTTAAAAAAAACTTTCCATAAAGAAAGCGATCAGCAAAATGAATAAACAAACTAATCGATACATTAAATTATTATTCTTGTGTCTTCGACATTTGTTCACTTTTTATTTAAAAAAAAAATCATCTCTGTATATATTTCCCACCCCCTTATCGGGATCTTCAAACTGTAAAATCGAGTAAGCAAAAGTGTAAGTGAAATAATGTCATGATTTAGTGAAAAAAACCAATCTCGTAAGAAAGAAAGGACTCAACTATATGCTAAAAAATCATCTGTCGAACCACTCACAAACATGTGACTGTCAGAAATAAGCCATTCTTAGGGCTCTGGCTGGCTCCTTTCGTAATGAGAGAACTTAGGGTCTAAACGACCATCCATGTGTGTTCTGGTTAAAGCCCCAAGTGGAAATTGCAGGTAAGCATAGACTGTCCAACTCCCTCCACTATGGCAAAGAGCACGGTAAGTTAAAGAATATTCTGACCCACATACCTCCATTAGCCACATTGAACTTGACTCCAAACTCGCCCCCAGGTCCTCCAGGGCAGTGGCTGGCTGTCAGGATGATCCCACCAGCTGCCTTGATCTTCCTTATAATGCAGGAAACCGCAGGGGTTGACAAGATGCCATTCTGTCCAATAATCAGCCGACCAATCTAGATCATAGGAAATGGGAGAAGTCAGTGCGGTTGTATGGGTTGAACGGGGCAGCACCAGCACCGTCCTCACTGCCCAGTGTGTCCTAGACCTCTCGAGGCACCCGAATCCGGTCTTCAACTCTTAGCCTGTAGGGAGACTACGAGTGAAACGATCTTCGGTAGTTTGAAGATGAGCGATGATTGCTCAGGAGCAAGAGTGAGGCCTCGCCGTGGACTCAGAAACAACACACAGGAGCGTGTTGAAAAGGACAGGAAATCAAAATGTAAGGGCGTGTCTGCAGAGCAGGGGATCCAAGTCACCACAACACCTCATCCTCAGGGACCACTTACTGTCAACGTGTACTGGGGACACGGGAGAAGTTACCCACTCATGTAGTGACCGCTGTGGAGGTCATCCATGAGAGCGGCCAGGTGCTGAGGTTAGAAAAGCAACTTTTCAAAAAGTCAGTAACATGACCATAAAAGAACAGTGCTTGCTATGCTTTGCTTTGAAATAAGGTTGAGTGTCATCCGATCTAGCTGTTCCCAAATATTCCTACAAATCAGAATCACTTGAGACACTTCTTTAAAAAAACAAAAATCCCATTCTTTGCCCCTGTGACCATTTGGGGAGGTGAACCAGTGGATACAAGACCTCTGTCTGTCTTCCTCTCTGTAGAGTCTGCCTTTCAAATAAAAATAAATAACTAGGGGATCTTTTTTAAAAAAAAAAAAGTTCCATTACTCAAATGGAAGCCTACACTAATTTTAATCATCGATTCTGAAGTCAAGAAACATGAGAATAGCTGTGGACAGAAAAAGCAAGTAATTGTAGAATGATTGATTATGGAAAAGATCCGCCCAGTGCAGTATCCTAGGGCATGTGTGTTCATACTATACCATGAACAAGTATAGAATTTGCTTACTATAAACAAGTAAACAAAGCAATAATGTTAGTGATCACTAATTGGTCACACATGAGGAAGAAAACAAGGCATCATGCTGTAACAGGAATAATGGAGCATCCTTTTGTTTTCGTTTTTTTTCTGGCAGTGCTCCAGTGTGGGATGCTGGGAGCATCCATTTTAACCATTACCATAGCAAAGGGAATTCGGATGTTATTTGATGTACAAGGAGAATCTATTCAAGGGCTTTAGTCAGTAAAAGCCATCTAATATCATGCATGTTTAAAAAAAAATCACAGGCTGAACAGCCTAAAGAGTCCTATTAAAAAGCAAGTCCCAATGGACCCAACATGATAGCCTAAGTGGTTAAATCCTTGCCTTGCCATCTGCCAGAATCCCTTAAGGGCGCCAGTTCCTATGCTAGCTGCTCCACTTCCCATCCAGATCCCTGCTTGTGACCAGGGAAAGTAGTTGAGGATGGCCCAAGATCTTGGGATCATGCACCCACGTGGGAGACCCAGAAGCAGCTCCTGGCTCCTGGCTTCAGATCGACTCAGCTCCACCCCTCTCAGCCACTTGGGGAGTGAACCGGCAAATGGAAGATCTTTCTTTCTGTATCTCCTCCTCTCTGTATATCTGCCTCTCCAATTAAAAAAAAATAAATCTTTTTTTAACAAAGTAAAGCATATCATGCCACCACATATTGGCTTTCATTGCCATGCAGAGCAATCCATCGACTCTTCAGAGTCTAACAAGCCCCCGTCATCTGCCAGTCTATACTCTGCGCTCGCTCGCTCGCTCGCTCGCTCTCTCTCTCTCTCTCTGTTCTAGCCACACACACCGAGCAAGATCCTGCTGCCCCACCTCTGTCTCGCTCTCTTGCTTTCCTTAGAACACCCTTACGAGGCATCCACACACCCACACCCTCATGTCCCATCATCACCTCATCAAAAGTCACACCCTGGACGAGTCTATGCATAGATAATACGCTGCTCTGAAGTTCCTTGTTCCTCTGTTGGTCTCTGTTTCTTTTGTAATTTCCCATAAAATGTAACTGAACAGTTTCCATATATTTGCTTTTCCATTGAATGTAAATCCCAAAGGCATGGGGTACAGGGGGGGCTCACTGCTATATCCCAAGAATTTCGGACAAAACGGGCATGTTTCTATAATAAATATTTCTTGAATTAATTGAAAGCAAATGAATGGCTGCTATGTGAAAGCCACATGAATTAGTAATGAGGGGTCAGAGTTGTGGCACAGTACCTTAAGGTGACACCAGCCAAGCCAGCATCTCATTTCAGAAGGTCGGTCCATGTGCTAGCTACTGTGTTTCTGATACAGCTTCCCGCCAGTGCACCTGGCAAAGCAGGAGAAAATGGCACGAGCGCATAGGGCCCTGGCCGCCTTGTGAAAGACCTAGATGGAATTCCTGGCTTCTGGCATCAGCTTGGTCCAGCTTGGCTGTTGGCGCCATTTGGGGAATTAATCAGCAGATGGAAGATTTCTCTCCCTCGCTTCTCAAATGCATTAATAATTTTCTTCGGAAAGAGTAGTAAGAGCAGGAGGAAGATCAGATGAAACGGTTATCAGAATTAAGCATGAAAGGTGTCTTAGATTAGGCTAGAGGCCAAGAAAGGCAAAGAAGCTATTGGACATGATAAATATTTTCAGAATTAGCAGGTAGTCTGGGATATCAACTAATGGGACTATGGTCACCCTGTCTGGCATTTGGCTCTGTGTAGTTCCGGGATCCCATATGGGTGCCAATCCCTGTCCCAGCGGCCCCACTTCCCACCCAGCTTCCCACTTGGGGCCTAAGAAAGCACTCAAGGATGACCCAAAGCCTTGGGATCCTGCACCCACAGGGGAGACCCAGAAGAAGCTCCTGGCTCCTGGCTTCGGATCAGTTCAGCTCTGGCCACTGCAGCCACTTGGGGAGTGAATCATTGGACAGGAAGATCTTCCTCTCTGTCTTTACTCTTCTCTGTAGATCTGACTGTCCAAGAAATAGATAAATTTTTTAAAATAAATAAATAAAAAGACACTGATGTCTTTGCCTTGCCCTGCTGAACTGCTCCTTCTGGGAAGGGCCAGCTGTCACATCACGAAGACGTGTGTGGACGCCCCTCTGGAGAGAAAGCCAGGCCTCCCACCCAACAGCGAACAACCACTTGGCACCCACGGAAGGACCTACCTTGCCATCCATCCTCTAGGCCCTGTCAAGCTTCAAAGGACCACCCTTCCAACATGTGGCCATGACCTCACGACAATCCTTGAGCCAGGAGTAATCTAGGTCCCATCTCACAGACACTCTGAGCGATAACAAATACAAGCTGAGGTTCTAAGCCACTCAGCTTTACAGGGCAGTAACTTTGAACTTCAGGAACCCTGGGGAAGAAGTCCAGCTAAGTCTCAGCCCCCTACCCTCAGTGACTTGATAAGTAGCAGCACCATGTTTCAAGACAAGAAAAGCACAGGCCAGGTTAATATAACAACATTTCTATTATTACTCAGAGAAATAATAAATTATTTTCCCCACATTGTTCTCCAAATTTATGTAGTCATTCAATTCATTTTACTGAGTATCTATTATGAAACATAATACAGGCAGTCCTGCAAGATACAACAATGAGTACCATGTCACCACTGACCTCAAAAAATAAAGCTCTGACGTCACAAATCCAAAAAAAAACACTTGTCATTTTTGTTCAGGATGTTCCATCTATCTCTTCTTTTTTCAACATCGTTCTTTAAAAATATCTTTCAAAAGGGGAAAGCTATATACATGTAGATAATTCTTATAGTACTAATAATTAAAGAGGAATTTAAACCCACCTTTATAAATGTCTAATAATGGAGAACTTGTTGCAGTGTGAAGTATCAGCTTTATAGAACCTTACTTCACACAGTTATGAAGACAGCACAGCTGTGGAAGATGTGGTTAGCAGGCCCAGAATTTTACATCCTTTTTCACAATGCAGACTTCAGGGCCTGGCAGCGTGGCCTAGCGGCTTAAGTCCTTGCCTTGAACATGCTGGGATCCCTTATGGGCGCCGGTTCTAATCCTGACAGCTCTACTTCCCATCCAGCTCCATGCTTGTGGCCTGGGAAAAGCAGTTGAGGACGGCCCAATGCTTTGGGATCCTGCACCGGTGTGGGAGACCTGGAGGACGTTCCTGGCTCCTGGCTCCGGATCAGCACGGCACCAGCCGTTGCACTCACTTAGAGAGTGAATCATCAGACGGAAGATCTTCCTCTCTGTCTCTCCTCCTCTCTGTATATCTGACTTTCCAATAAATAAATAAATCTTTAAAAAGAAAAAAAGAAAAGCATCCAGAGGAAAGCTTTATCTCAAGCACCTGTTGTATACATCACATTGAATGCTATAGGTGATTTTTTTCAATGACTATTTCTGACAGCTCCTTCGTTTTCACAATATTAGCAACTCTACGTCTAAATTAGATTTAGTATGTGTTCAGCTTCTAATTAGCTCAAAATAAAACCCTAGGGAGTGGAGACATACAATTACACTCTCGGGCTAAAATTTCCAAGGAGGCGCAGAATTCGACTGAATGAGTTTTCTCCAGTAACACAACACTGGAGAAAGCAGGACTGGGTTTCATGTGTAAATTCTCTTACATTCGATTTTTCCCTTATGATGCCCTTTTGGCTCTAAGGGAGATTTTTTTTTAAGTACAGAAAGAGTAACCATGACATTCTACAATATTCTCCACTCACGCTTCCATAATGGAATCAAATCCCAAAGTGGATTGGAGGAAAACAGTAATAAAAAACAATTTTTTGGTCAGGGGATGGGGGTGGTGAAAGAGGAGAGAGGAGGAAGGGGTGGGGGAGAGAGGGAGAGAGAGGGAGAGCAATGGAGAGAGAGAGAATTCTCAAAGAGAAGAGAGGGAAACAGAGAGACAAAGTAAGCAAACTAGAGCTCTCCAGGGACCATGCTGCCATAACATGTTATGGACAGCCACACACACACAGACACCTGTTTTCTATACTCTCAGTTAAATACACACACAAATCCCAAGTCCAACTGCCAATAATGGCAAGTTTTCTGTCTCCCAGGCCCAGCTGTCACAGTGGAGTGCCACTCCT